GCTGTTAGGTTCAGAGACTGTTCTCCCTACTGCGCTTTATCAGCAGGTGAGGGCAGTTCTTGCTTGACCAAGGAGAGCTCTCCCTTAGGGAAGGAGAGAAGTCTGGAGGAGTTGATCCCTGGGGCTGGGTTTTCACCTGGATGCCTGGAGACCATCCTGCCACTCACGAATAAAGGGATAGAGGTTGCAGTGGGGAGAAAGCCAGGTGGGAGTTTGAGGATGGGCTCTGAGCTACAGACGAGATAGGTTCAGAGCCAATATTTAGGTTGGCCTATGGAAGCTGTGGGGCTAGATGCAAAGCTTGTCCTCTCTCCTCTACTCACTGCCTCCCAAATATTCTGAGCACTGGGCTTTCAGAGACAGAGGATCTGGGATCTGACTGGGGGGTGGGAGTGGGGAGGTCCTTAGGCACAACCCATCTGTGGCATCTGTATGTATGGCATCAAGTCAAGATGGCCCCATTAGTGAAGAAGGCAGGAATGGTGACTAACAATTTGTTCACTGAATGCGTGCTTCTTGAGCACTACTCTGCATGAAAAATCCTGGGCCCTGGGTGAGGATACAGTGAACCAGCAGAACGAGGTCCCTGCCCTTGTGACCCGTACACTCCAGTGGGAGAAGATGGATAATAATGCAAGCAAACAAACGAGTGCAGTAATGTCGGATGGTGGCAAGTGAGATGAAGACCAAGAAACTCACAGTTTGAAAAGACCCCCCCTCCCCAACAGCCATGTAAAGATGAGATTGTGGGGAGAAAATAGGAAGCAAGAGGTACCGCCGGGGAGTATGACATCCTCAGAGAGAGAGAAGACAGTACCTTAGTCTAGGATGTTAGCCCCGGAACTGGAGTGAAATTGATGGGTTTGGAATATATTTAAGTACTGAAGCTAACAGATTGGATGTGAGGGGCTGGGGGAAAGAGGGATTTGAGTCATGGACTTGAGTAACTAGGATAATGGTGCGTCCTTCGAGGCTGAGAGAATGAAAAGACAGGCATTGGAGGTGTGGGCACGTGTGAGTGAGAAGTTCTGTTTGGGCTGTGTTACATTTCCAATGCCCATGAAGCATCCAAGTGGAGTCCAGATCAGTGGAGAGATCAAGCAGGGGCTATGATTTGGGACTCACTGGTATACAAATGGGATTCAGATCCCTTAGACTCTAGATCTTAGGGTGGTGGTTCTCCAGTAGTGGTGACTTGCCGCACCCTTCTTCCAGGGGACATTTGGCAACATCTGGAAGCATTTTTGGTTGTTATGCCTGGGTGGGGGGAGGTTTGCTACTGGGTGGAGGCCAGGGATGCTGCTAAAAGTCCTGCTATACCCCCCACAGCACAGAATTATCTGGCCCCAAATGCCAGTGGTGTTGAGGTGGAGAGCCCTGTCCTAGAGAGAGTGTAGACAGAGAAGGAAAGAGAGGACAGCCCCAGGACCTACTTAACGTGAGGAGGCAGAGCCTCCTGCACGGAAGACTGAGTAGCAACAATCAGAGGTAGGAGAGAAGCCTGGAGAGCGGAGTGTCCTGGAAGTAGAGAGCATTGGGAAGGAGGGGTGCTAAACTGGGCTAAATGCAGACAGACTCCATCCTTCGAGCCCAGAGAGAAGCGACAAATGGCTTAGGCAAGGTCACTGTTGATGATCTTGATTAGAGCAGTTCCTGTGGTCTGATGGGTTAGAAGCTCCAGGGGAGAAGGTTGCATTTCTTCCCTGATCAGAATGTCTCATGTGTGTGCTTTCATTAATCCACACGCAGCAGGGAGGTTCTATTATCCTGGCTTTACAGAAGTGGCAGAATTACTAACAGTAAGTGGCACAGCCAGGAGAGTTTGGAGGTGAGGAATTGGAGGCAGTGAGAAGTGTCTCTGTAAAGGAGAACAGAGGTGGGTACAGAGGATGTTTGCTGCTGATATGAATGATCCATGTGGAGGCTGAAATTGACCATGTTGGAGGGGAGGCTGAGAACCAAAGTCTGAGTTCATGAGAAGGATCCCGAGGCCCATGTTGAGGGGTTGACCTTTCCCAGTAACATGATACCAATAATCCTAACTATTTTGAGGAAGATTACTCCTAGACTCAGCTTCTCTCCCACATGCCCCCTGCTGGCCTCCAGAGGCCTGCTGGGCAGCTCTCTGTAACGCCCCACCCCGACCCCTGCTAAAGGGTGGCCTCCCTGTAGGAAGCTGCTGCACGGGCCCAGCCCTTCCCGCTCCGTGTCCTTGGGGCACCAGAGATTTTATGTGCTCAGGAACTAGGATAGCAAGTAAGGGCAGCCCTGCAGTCAGGAACTAGAGCCCAGGCTGGCTGGGCAGTTCGATCGATACACATCAGCGATTTTCCACCCAAATTTGACTGCCTCCATCCTGATCCTAAGCCTACAAGGCCCTGTCCCAGGGTCTTTGCTCATCACTCTCTCCCTGCGATCACCACACACACCAGCCTCCTTTAGGCTCTCACGTACTGAATGTTCTTGCCTTCTTCACCTTCTCTCCCTTCTCTACCTGGCTAAGTCTTGCATAGCCTCCTGAATCAGGAGCTAGAGAGGGCTGTCTGAGAGGTGACTGCTAACAGCCCCAACTAGATGAGGCCCTCTCGTTCGCTCATCCTCCAACACTGGATGCTGCCTCTTCGGTAGCGCTGTTCCTATGTATAATGTGTTTTTTTGGTGCAGTGTCTGTATTCCATGCTAGGCTGGAACCTTCATGACGGTAGTCTAGTTTACTGGTTATTTCCAGGGCCTGGCATACAGTAGGTGCTCACTAATTATTTGCTGACAGAGGAAATGAATCGCTGACTATAGTATAGCCTACTTGGTATTTCTCTGGCTCATACATGCTGTGTTCAGCACTTTATTCTCCTCGACACACATTTTACTACAGATTCTTGAAGCTTTCCTGATCAGCTGCATGGTTACTTTCATCTTGGTTTGAAGGTGTGTAAAGGGGTTTAATCCAGTATCTTTGGCCATTCATTTAAAATAGAAAGAGGTACTAAGCTTTTACATTATTGATTCTACCCAGTAGGATGGCTGGTTTGGTTTTATGTGAACCAACAGAGCTTTACAACATCTTGAATCAGGTCACAAAACTATCCCGACTGACTGAACCCAACTATCTCTGCTTATTGGGTAAGTGCTTAAAAAAAACTATGTTGTGTTCAGTATCCTTCCAATACTATTTTAGGTGAATCACCAAGCTTACAGGGATCGGGGAATAAATGACTATAGGAAACTGTTAGACTCCTTTGACATAGCTTAAAATGCTTCTACTAATTGTCACTTGACTTGGAAATAACTCCAGATTAAATCTAGAAGTTCTCATAAGACTTGTGTTCTTGTTTAGTGAAACATTTCGAACATCTAACAAATATATAGTAAGACTAATAAATGCCCATGTACCCACTGCTCAGATTTAACATAAATGTTATGCATAGATGTACCCCTCTTTTGTACCCCTATCCCAATCCCATTGCTGCTTCTCCCCAAAGATGACAGCTTCTGTATTTTTTTACATTTTTACTATAGATGCAGGCATCCCAAAATGTGTGGTTTAAACATTTACACAAACTGTACCGTAATGTACAGTTATTCTGCAACTTGCTTTTTCTTGAAATCTTTGAGATTCCCAAGTCTAAATGTGAAGATCTATTTTAACTGTTAGTTAGGGTAGTAGCCATTCCTAATCAGTTGTGGTGTGTTGCCTGCGTTGTTTCTGTTATGAACAGTGTTGCCCTGAAGAACCTTGACCTCTTATTTACATGCAAGAGTTTCTTCAGGATACCGATCTAGAAATGGAATTGCCAAGTTGCAAATTCTGCTTCATTACATTATTGTTAAATTGCCCTCCGAAAAGATTGTATCAATTTGCATTCCCATCATCAGTGTAAGAAATATACCTCCCAATACCTGTTTTCTTCAGCCTTTAAAATGTTTGCAGTCTGATTGGTGTGAACTTGTATTATAATGTTTGCTCCCCCAATTTAAAAAATTGATAAAATGGGCGCCTGGGTGGCTCAGTCAGTTAAGCGTCTGCCTTCGGCTCAGGTCGTGATCCCAGGGTCCTGGGATCGAGTCCCACACCGGGCTCCCTCCTCGGCGGGAAGCCTGCTGTCCCTCTCCCACTCCCCCTGCTTGTGTTCCTGCTCTCGCTATCTCTGTCTCTGTCAAATAAATAAATAAAATCTTAAAAAAAATAAAAAAATTGATAAAATGCACATAACATAAAATGTGCTATCTTAACCACTTTAAAATGTACAGTTCAGAGGTGTTAAATATGTCCATCATGTTATACTGCCTTATGTGCACCACTTTCCATCTCCATAACTTTTCCTCTTGTAAACTCTAAAAGGAACTCTATACCCATTAAATACTGTCCTTCCTCCCATCCCTTAATCCCCTGAAAATCCCCATTCTCCTTTCTATCTCTATGATTCTGACTACTGTAGGTCATGTAAGTGTAATCATATAGTATTTGTCTTTTGGCTTATTTCACTGAGCATCATAATGTCCTTGAGGTTTGTCATGTTGTAGCATATTGCAGAATTTTCCTCTTTAAGGCTGAATAATATTCCATTGTATGGATATACCACATTTTGCTCATCCGTTTATTTGTCAGAAGATGTTTGGGTTACTTCCACGTCTTAGCTACCGTGAATGATGACGTTATTACCATGGGTGTGCAAATATCTCTGAGACCCTGCATTCATTCATTCCTTCATTCATTCATTATTCACTCATCTATTTACACATCCATTTATTCATTTATTTATATATTCATTTATTTACCTATTCATTTATTCATTCGTTTGTTTATGGTATATAAACCAGAAATGGAATCACGGGATCTCTTGGTAATTCTGTTTGTAATGTTTGAAGAGTTGCCATATTGTTTTCCATAGCAGCTGTGCCGTTTTACATGAACCCAAGGGTTCACAAGTTTCCAATTTCTCCACATCACTGTCAACACTTGTTATTTTCTCATTTTGGGGGGATAGTAGTCATTCTAATAGGAGGGAGGGAGTATCTCATTATAATTTGGATTTGCATTTCCCTAACGATTAGTGATGTTGAACATCTTTTCCTGTACTTCTTGGCCATTTGTATGTTTTTGGAGAACTATCCAAGTCCTTTGCCCATTTTTGAATCAGGTTTTTTTTAACTGTTGGGTTTTTAGGAGTTATCTACATATTCTGGGTATTAATCCCTTATTAAGATTTAATTGTCATGAAGTTCAGTTTGTCTTTATTTTTTTTTCTTTTGTTGCCCATGCCTTTGTTGTCCTATCCAGGAAATCATTGCCAAATCCAATGTCATGAAGATTTTGCCCTATGTTTTCTTCAAGTTTATACTTTTAGGTCTTGCATTTAGGTCTTTGATCCATTTTGAGTTAATTTGTGCATGTGGTGTTAGATAAAGGCCCAACTTCATTCTTTTGCATGTGGATATCCAGAGGGAGTGGGAGAATCTCACGCAGGCTCTATGTCCAGTGTGGAGCCGTATATGGGGCTTAATCTCACGACCTGAGATCATGACCTGAGCTGAAACAAGAGTTGGATGCTCAATCGACTGAGCCACCCAGCTGCCCCTCATTGACATAATTTTTAATACATACAAATCTGTAGTTTTAGTTTCAGAACCTAATATAGGCCTGACAATCAAAGCCTTCGTTTTGGAAGAAAGGTCTTAGGTCCCACTCAATCTCTAGTAAAATATTTTCACAGGCTGTAGTATTTTTATGCCGTTTTTTAAAAAATATAAGGTGCCCCCATAGCAACACCAGGATAGTTACAATTCATTTGAGGCCTCACCTGTAGAAAGAGGCGGTCATGGGACAGTTTGTTAAAACTCCACTCTCAGAATTTTTTTAAAAAGATTTTATTTATTTGACAGAGAGAGAGCATGCAAGTGCACAAGTGGGGCCGGGTAGCGGGGCCCTCTGCTGAGCAGGGAGCCCCATGTGGGGCTCGATCCCAGGACCCTGGGATCATGACCCGAGCCAAAGACAGACACGTCACCGACTGAACCACCCAGGTGCCCCAGTCAGAATTTTTCATCAATGCTTTTCCTGATCTTTCATATCGTACTGCCAAAATCTGAAACCTGCCTCAAAGAGATCATCCGATAAAAGAAAATCTAAAAGTGATTATTTTGGAATAGAACCCAGGAGATCAGAGTGGTTCAGGATTCCCTATTGGGACCATACTTTATATTTTACTGCAATGCGTAATGATTTTCAGCAACAATTGCCAAAAATCCTATGTTGCGTGCTTTCATACTCTCTGGTGACTGGCCAGAGAAGCTACAAAAAAGTTTGGGAGTCCATACCCTTTTTAATGCAAGTGCCCCCATAGGCTGAATTGCAGGATAAATACCATTCATTTGAGGCCTCGCCTGTAGAAAGCTGTCGTGGGACACCCAGGACACCTACTAGTTTGTGAACATCCCTGAGATAGCATGATTTTGTAAAGATTTTATTTTTTTAAGTCCTCTCCACACCCAACGTGGGGCTCAAACCCACAACCCTGAGATCAGGAGTTGCAAGTTCCACTGAATGAGCCAGCCAGGCACCCCAAGTGTGAATTTTTAATCCAGATTATACTTGAGTTTCACCAGCCTTTTTCATTGTATTTATAGGAAGTTGCAGCTGGTCAGCCAACAATCCTACCACCTCTCTTATCCTGAGTTTGTTCTCAAGCTATCTATGGCTTTGGAATCTCGCAAGTGATATTCCGTATCATTTGAAAGAATAATCCTGCCTCCCTCCAGCTTTGCAGTTTCCAAATATCACTTAGAGTTTTTTATTCAGCTGAGTAGCTGAGTATGGACAGCAACCACCTATAAAGAAAGGGTTTTCTCAAATACATGACTTAACACTATGATTTAGGAAGTAGATGTACTAAAATAGGCCAGAAAAAATTGATGGTTGGTATTTGTGATAAAAATCCATTCAATATAGAGCCTAGTTGTTGATCTCCCGCCAAATCGAAACTGAGAGCTGTGAATTTACTACATCCATTAAAAATAAATAACCTATGAAATACAGATTTTGGCTTAGAAGATGGGAAAATCAAAATCAGTGTATTGAACCTGCATGTTTCATTTGCTCACAAACTTATACACACTAAGATTCTACAAAAAAAAACTATTGCACCAAAGAGAACTGCCCTTTTGATTTTTGCTTGATTTCTTCATTGACCCATTAGCATGCTGTCAGAAAACTGCCTTTTTGCAAATAAGCCTAAAAGTATCCTTCAAAGAGACCTATATAAATATTCATATATAGATCTAAAGTATTACTGTTCAACATAAATGTTATTTCTAGAAAAAACTTAACAGCAGAAGTTAGAACAACCAACAATGTATGACCTCTTCAGCCACTAAAAAAAACACCAAGTCAAAAAAAATTCAAAATCACTGTTTTTATGATAATATATATAAATAAATATTGATCAAAACTGAGGAAGTAAATACTTGGATTGACACATGTCAATAGTTGGAAGAATTTTTGTTCAATTTAAATGTCTTCTCTCTTAAAAAAAATTTAAGTGCTAACCTATAAAGCAGGCAAATTCTTCAAGTAATTTGCTGTTAGGAATGCTGACTTTTATAAGAGCTGAACAAGGAATGAGAATAAAATGAAACAGGAGGGTAGACACAGGGGAAAAAACTGACCAGTTGTAGCTGGACAGATGCTACTATATATAATCCTGGCCCGCTCATTTCAATTAAATGCATGAGCTAAGAGATTCGGTGTCTGCTGATTTAGTATACTAACTCCTTAGATTTGCTAAAATTCCTGCAACAATCAGTAGGCACACATGAAGTTTTAAGGCAAAGACTACCACTTAAAAATCAGCATTGGACACCAACTAAAGCAGTCTTTAAAATGTTTTTATTATCCACTATTACTGTGAATGAATATAAACTGTAATCAGTATTCCAAATTAAGAACTCTAGCCTCGTCCAAAGTTTAATGACTTCCGGAGGGGGGCACCTGGCTGGCTCAGGCGGCGGAGCGCGGGACTCTTGATCTTGGGGAATGAGTTCAAGCCCCACCTAATGACCAGAAGTCCTTGAACTTCTGCCTATCAGCTGTTCCTTCCAAGAAGTTTTCTATTAACCAAATGGTG